CCCACACCCACACCCACACCCACACCCACACCCACACCCACACCCTATATACAACAACAATTTTATACAATCTTACAATTGAAAAATTTAAATCAAACAATAGTCACTATTTTTTCACCCTATGTGGACCTATTTCCCATGGTAGTGATCTTCTTTGAGCTCAAAAACTAAATAACATCTCCACATCTTTTTTTGTTGAATTATATATAGAAAGATGCAGTTTTTGACAGGCTTTTTCCTGATGCAAAAAGGTTTTGAGGAGAGAATTGATCTGGTATACTTTTAGAGCAAAAATATAAAAACTTTTCATAAAAAATGATCATTTTTGTCGATTTGTTTAGTTAAAAATAACACATTAGAGACTCTTTGGACATGATTTATATTTGACAATCTTGTTCTATCATTGTGTGTTTTACAGATCTAATCAAGATACGTTAATTGATACTAAAATAGAGGGATCCTTGATGCTAATGTATGTAGTCATGAAGTGTTACATAGAATTCTCTAAAATTCATAAAATAGTACCTGAGGGTGGATTCAAAGATCCGTTCATATCTCTTGATAGGACTTTCAGAAGGGGCTAAAAATTTGGCTCTGAACATAACTTTTCACGAGCTTTCGAAAGGTATAATTTATTTAAAAGTCAAAATTTGTCGTATGCATGCTTGTTCAGTAGTCTGATGGATCCTCTCTTAAAATTAAATTTTCTAATATATGTTAAAGAAATAGGTCCATATAGGGTGAAAAAATAGTGACTATTGTTCGATTTAAATTTTTCAATTGTAAGATTGTAAAAAATTGTTGCTGTATATGTTGTATATTTGCACATTCACTATTGTTACTGTTGGTATATAATTTAGGTCATTTATAATTATAAATAAATATTTAGTTATATTTTAATCGCAAGGGGGTAGTTTTTTTTGCACTCCGTACTATGAGAACAGACAGTTGTGTGTAAGATATTTATGAGAAGAGGTCATTGTGTGTAAGACAATTATGAGAACAGATGGTCATGTGCATGCACGTCGATCAATTTTGTTTGTACTGATTAACATTAAAGAAAGAGAGCCTAACAGTGATCAATTTTCCTTGAAAATATTTAAACGAGTGAGAATAAGAAGATATTATCCATTTACAGTTATTCAAAATTCACCATCATATAGATCACATTGAAAGTACGGATACATCATGTCAATTTTATTTTCTCAACCTGAATTGGATCGGTTTTTAAAATTTGCAACGAGATCAACAACTTGATCTTCTTCACTTTTTGACAAAAAATATTTATTTACACATAGCACACATTCATTTTCCACATAATTGTCTGCACACAAATATCTAACACACAATTATCTGCATACAAATATCTAACACACAATTGTCTGCACACAAATATCTAACACACAATTGTCTGTTCACACTATTGCCTTACACACAATTGTCCATACATATAATTGTCTGCACACAATTGTCTTACACACAATTGTCCATACACATAATTGTCTGCACGCAATTGTCTTACACACAACAGTCGTGCTCC